ATAGCTCCCATATTAGATACATCTAAAAGTGGACTCGCCCTGAAGTCCAGCTTCTCAGGACATTTAAAGAAGGAGCAAACCACATTGTGTGTCATGTTGGTCTTAACCTGTGTTCAAGGTAGTTTGAAAGGCACATTATATATCCATAATGGCAAACCTATAGCACATGTGCCTCAGCAGACTGTCTATATCATTGAAGACTCTACAGGGTGCCATCACTGTTGTATACCTACATATTAAAAATATATATGGAGAGATAGATTGTAAGTGTTTGAACTGTTTTACAGAGAAGAACATGGCATGTTTCTCTATAGAAAAATTCTTCTCTGAAGCAGATTTTAAAATATTTTTGATGAATATTCATAGGATTTAAATGGAAAGATGTTTTTCAGCCTTGGTGGTGGGTGCTTTAAATGCAATTCCTTGCTTCATTTGCCTAGAAAATTCACTTACATTTTAATACTCTCTGATGCTGGGTAAAGGGAGACCTATTAAAAGTTAGTGTTTTTTTACTTTCAGGTTAAAGTAGCTTGGCTGACATTGCATGTTTACCGGGATATAAACTCAAGTTTCCTAACATTGCAATTTAATTAGGCTTTGAAATTTTCTTCATCTGCCATTCTTTTGCTTAGCTTGAAATTTCCCTTTTTTCACATAACTTGCTTTGTGGAGAAAGTAACCCTTTATATTAGAAACAAATCACAAGATGGTGCCTTCTGTTCATTTTTAACTCCAGGGCCAAAAAATAGTTACATGGATCAGGTCAATGTTAAATGCTTGACTATAAGTACAAATGATTCTCGTCCTCCTTGAAACAAAAAGGCTAACCTGGCACACCTGTAATCTCAGCACTCAAGAAGCTGCAGCAAGAGGCTTGTCATGAATTTCAAGTTAGCTTGATACACATAGTGAGACCCTGTCTCAAAAAAAGAAAAGAGGGCCAGTGATATTGCTCAGCGGCTCAGCGGCACAGCGCCAGCTGGCAAGCACAAGGTCAGTCCTGAGTTCAATCCCTAGTCAAAAAAAAAAGGAAGGAAAGGAAGTTAAAAAGCTCAACTTGGTATTTGAGGTGACTAAATAGGGCCTCATATATAAGCCTGACTAGAACTAACTTCATACCCATTTTAAGTCAAGTCTGCACACTCTTTTTTCTTTGCCTTTAGTATGAAAAGACACAGACTGTACTCTCAGAACTGAAGTTGAAGTTTGAAATGACTGAGCAGGAAAAGCAATCAATCACAGATCAGCTCAAACAATGTAAAGACAACCTGAAGCTGCTCCGAGAGAAAGGAAATAATGTAAGTCTTTGCCAGCTGGCTTAGCTTTAATCAAGAGGAAGGGGAGATATTTGAGACTGATTTTCAGAAGACTTTATTACTCAGTTGGGAACCTAATGTCCTGGGATACAGATAAAGTATGCTTTTCATTATAAAATTCTGGGATGTAATCATTGTACTGTCAGATAGTTAAGTAAGAATTTGCTCCTTTACCTTTACCCCTAGAAAAGCTTAAAAATTCACTGGGCGTGGTGATGCATACCTGTAGGGAAGCTGAGGCAGAAAGATTCCTGTGAGTTTAAGGCCAGCCTGGACTACATAGTGAGTTCAAGGCTAGCCTGGAGTATGTAGTAAGACCTGTCTCCAAAAAAAAGCCTAAGGACTGCCTGGAAGTAGAAGTACATATTGATCTTTAGCATTTGACTGTATCAAAAAAGAGAAATTTGGTATGGTTTTCATTTTGTGCTAATCATATTTTCACTGAGACACCTTCCTAAAAAGCTGTTTTTCTTTGGTATCTTGTAAGTATTAGGAAATACTTGGTAGGTTACTATAGCAATTTCTCAGCGTGCTTGTGTGAGTGTGTATGACACAGATAAAGATGAGAGACATCGTTGGTATAAAATAAGCTTGATAATACTTGTTTTTCATTTGCTAGAAAATCTTTTTAAAAGATGTTATACTAAATAAATGTTGTGTTGTATGTTTTGGTGATCATTGCCTTTGTGGGCCTTAACTGATGGTTGTTCAGTGTGGTTGTGCTCTGACTTATTTCCAACTCTGTCTTGGCATGGACACTGCATTAAACATGAGCCACACGCTTCCTACAGAGACAGGCACTCTGCTTAACTTGCAACCCAAGTATAAAAGAGTGTTGTTGCATGGCCATCTAATTATATAGTTGTACACAGAATGTTCATGAACTGTGTCCAACTGTTTTTCACTTAGGAGAGTCTTAGATTTTAGACAGTAAAGGATTAATGCTTAAAGTAAAAAGCTTTTAGAAATTAATTGGATGTAAAAGCATTATGCTAAGCAAAAAATTGATTGCATTTGTTTTTAAATGTAGTTTACAGAATTATTCTAGAATCAGATCTTAATGGTTTGCTGATTTCTTTCTTTTGTGTTAATTCATACCCCTCTGATTGTGAAATTTCAGTACACTTCCTACTAAATTAACTTATGAAGACATCTAACATGATCATAATGGACACCCCCTTCCTCTGTATATTTGGAACTTTTCAAAAGTGATAACCCTGTTATTGTTTATTAGTGATAAAACACAGTAATCCTTACAGTGAATTTCTCATTTTTGTGATATCAAGCTTATAATTCTAAATAATTCTCTTCCCATTTAAAAAATGAGTTCTATTCTGGTATCATAACTGAAAGCCCCAAGAATCATCAGTTGCCTGTCTTTAAGTACAGATATTCACTATACATTATCACCTCCCACCTGCATTAAGGAGTATGCCTTAGGCCAGGCGTGGCGGCTCATTTCTGTAATTCTAGCACTCAGGACACTGAGGCAGGATGATTGCTGAGTTCAAGGCCAGCCTAGGATACAAAGTGAGTTCAAGGCTAGCCTGAACTGCATAGTGAAACCCTGTGTCAAAAAAAACCAAACAAACAAAAGACGTATGCATCGTCACAAACCATTTCTTTTTAAGCTTGCAAGCAGTAATATGTCAAGCAGAGGAGTTTTGGTTGAGAAGTTTTTTAATGGAGGGATAAAATAAATGAACTATTGCTGAGGGAATATACTCCAAAAAATAGATTTCAGATACAAAATGATGTACTATTAAACAGAATATCACTTGGTAGAATATTATTATAGCACTGCCTGAGTGTGCTGTTTTATGAGGTTGTTAGGGACACCCACACTGACCATTGTAGTCAAGCTAGGTGTGGTGATGCTGTGCTGTAATCCCAGCACTGGGAGGCAGAGATGGGAGCATGCCAGAGTTGGAGACCAGCCTGGACTATGCAGCAAAACCCTGTCTCAAAAAACAAAGTGAAACAAAAGTAGTCATTTGTAAATTCAATGCCACAGTCCATTATTCTGGATTGTGTTAGATGTCTTTCAAAATGTATGAATTAGTAAGAAACCTGGGTGGTGTATTTCTCTTACCTCAGTCTTCCTTTCCTCCTCCCACCCACCTGGGGTCTAAATCATCTTACCTGACTTTTTTCATAGCATAAAATGATTTTAATATCCCTTCCCTTCTTCAGCCTTCCATATTACAACCCGTCCCAGCCGTATTCATCGGCCTATTCCTGGCTTTCCTGTTTTGGTGTTTCGGTCCATTGTGGTAGAGAAAGGTACAAGCACTACTGTTGAGTCCTTGTCTGTCTGTTCCCGTCGTCACCTGTTTGTGCCATATTTGTAATATAGTGCATGGCAAAACCACATGGGTTATCTGAAGCAAACCCTTCATTTAGTATGCCATGTATTTGTGTCCTCCCAGTGAATGAATAGTCAACTAATCACATAATGTTTTGTCTCGTTTCCTTTGTAGTAATGCTAACCATGAATTAATTCAAACCTAACCAGTTGTTAATATGCTTCCTTTAACTGAGTCTTTATCTCTAGCAAACTGGAATAAGCAGTGAATTTCTGCAATGTTAGTATCTACTTCCCAATTCTGTGTTTTAATCAGATTTGATTGAGAAATGAAGAGTTTGCCTCTTTGAAGTTTTTAGCCTCTTTCTTCCCTCTTCTTTTCCCTCTTCCCTTCCTTACTGTAGAATTTCTTTGTTTCAACCTTCCGCCTGTTTGTGTTGTGGCTATTAAAATCAAAGAGAGCCAGGCATGGTGGCATACACCTGTAACCCTATCACTCAGGAAACTGAGTCAGGAGGAGTGTGGAGAGTTCTAAGCCAGTCTGGGCTCCATAGATAGTTCAAGGCTGTCCTGAACTACATAGCAAGACCCTGCCTCAAAAAAGAAACAGAATGAGATTAGTATAGTGAACCATTGCCATACAGTCCCAACTCCAATATGAATTTACTTGTGATAATATAAATGGTATCACATACCTTCCTAACCCTAATCTGCAAATCAGAATATTTCTTTGAAAAATGACTTTTCAGTAAGACTCTCAGAACAGTACTAAAAATAGAGATACCAATCAAAGCAAATTAAGATTATAAAACCCTCTGAAATTTAATAGGGAATAGTCCACCCATGGTTGCCTCTTAATTGACATATGAATTAGAAAGTCTTAATTCACATATGAAAAAATGACAAGAGCTAGGCATGGTAGTGCAGGACTGTAATTTCAGCATTCTGGGAGGATCCCAGGTTGGAGCACACCTTGGGCAACATAGCTATTTAGTGAAATTGTCTCAAAATTAAAAAGGACTGGGGATCTGGGGGTGTAGCTGAATGTAAAAGGTCCCAGATTCAACCCTTGGTACCACCTCCCCCCCCAAAAGAAGCAGCTTCATTACACTGAACAAAGTCTTTATCAGAAATATCAGACAACCTGAGCTAGGTGTGGTAGTGCTTCCCTGTAATCCAGGCACTTGGGAGGTTGAGTCAGGAGGATCACCAAGAGTTTGAAGCCAGCCTGAACGACATAGTGAGACCTTTCTCAAAAAGAGAGAGAGAGAGAGAGAGAGAGAAGTATTTGACAAGTAAGATGGGCAAAGGCATGGAGGCACATTAGAGGCTGAGGCAAAAGGATCAATTCATGTTCAGGGCCAGCCTGGGCTACAGAGTGAGACCCTGTCTCAAAACAACAACAGAAAAAAACCTTGCCCGCTGTCACTTAGCCACCAGCCACTGTAAAAAATTACTTCAGCACATCAGTCTGGTTTTCATCAAGAAATAAACGTTTCAGGGCCAGGAATATAGTTCAGCAGCATAAGCGCTTGGCTGGCATGCATAAGGTCCTGGGGGGAAAAAAAACAGAACAAAGAAATAAACATTTCAGGTAGAAGCATGGTGCAGAGATCATGTATATATTCATCAATTACATTGGTGTCTTTATATGGATACCAGACCAAATAAAGCAGGCAAAGCTCAGAGGATTTTTAGAAGTCACCAATAGGAAGGATGGTAGGGATGTAGCTCAGTGGTACTTCCCTAGTGTGCACAGGGATTACATCCCTGGCCCTGCCAAACAAAGAAGAAAAAAGTCACCATTGGGTTTCAGCTATCAAAGTTGAAAGCAGCCCTGGGATATATTGTAGTAGTCTTGTTACAGCTTTCCTTGTACATGTACTTTCTTTTCTTTTCTTTTCTTTCTTTCTCCTTTTACTCTTTTTTCTTTTTACATTTTATTCTTACAATGCAAAGCCAGGAATTGTTTCAATATTCTGTTATATATTCAGGACTCTCTGGAACCAAGGGGCTGATAGGTATTAAAAGAGGGGACAATGTGATATTGACTCTTGGTTTCTTTCCACACAGAAACCCTGGCCCTGGATGCCCATGTTGGCTGCCCTGGTTGCGGTGACAGCCATCGTGCTGTATGTGCCAGGTCTGGCCAGAGCTTCTCCATGAGAGCGTTTCTTGAGTCCGTACACCGTCCTCCCTCTAGAAGCTGGCATCACACTCATGCTGGGGACAAACAGAACCATTTTCTTCCTTTTTACCTCTTAAAACAGCAGAAGTACAAGAACACAGATATAGGGTCATTGCTTTAAGTTATATAAAACTGTAACTGTCTATAGAGAGAATATAAAATTGTGACTTTATTCTACTGTAAGCAATAATTTGCTTACAATTTTTCATGTAATTTTAAAATTAGTATGTTGAGGTTCTGAATATTATGGTGGCCTAAAGTAGGCTTCGTGGTACACCAGATTATTTATACCATTAAATTTATGGTATTTTACTCTGAATTCTGATGGCCAGATAATTTGTCTTTCTGATTCGATAACTACCCAAACCAAACAACCAATACATACATGGGAAGAGAGGCCCTGTGTGCTCAGTGCCTATTAGTTTGGAATATATGCACATATATATATATATATATTTTTTACATATTTACGCCATTTTTACTTGTTATAAAACCACTGAGCTATTGGGAACAAGAGTTAGAGACAACTATTTGTGTGGATTTTTTTTTTTTTAAGGAAAAACATTTGGAAAATATTCTGTTATAGTGATAATTTGGGGAGTATGTGCACGCTTGTTCAGCCTTAATGTGACTTGAAGATGTAGAGGACATCAACTTTGAAAAACTTTCCATGAGAGTGTGTATTTTCTTGAGCAAACTAAAGTATTTCTGGGAGCAAAAACATAATAATTACACAATTTCAGTGCAGTCAACCAAACTGTTAAGTCAATTGGAATGTAATTTATTAAACCTCATGTATTTAAAGAAATACTTTCTTTAAAAGCCAAGTTACTTTCTCATATACAGCATTTTAGGAAGCATGATTTTTTTTTCTGTCATCTGTTCCTCCAAGCATGTTTAATTGAAGAAAGACTTGTATCTCTCTAGATAAGCTTTTATTGACTTAATTTGGTTATGATGTTTCAGAGGATTCATGTTCAAAGTGAGCTGTTATCTACCAACAGATATCCTGGTTGGGAATACAAATGGTTATTTTCTTTTTCTTGTGGTTAATTGGGGCTTTATGTTAATTAGAAGCACTATTCCCAAGATTGATAATGTTCCATGCACAATGAGCACCTAAACACTGCTTGATGTTACAAATTTAACACAGAAGTGAAAGTTTAGCTATGGTTTTGTGCAGCACCATAGTTATATCAATAAAGTTTATTTAGTTATAGAATATCCTCAAGTATCACATAGTTAAATTTTCAATCAGAGAAGACTGGGAAGGAATGAATGTCAGTGAATCAGCTTGAATGTTCTGTGGAAATAACAGGTCTAGCCAAATATTGAAATAAGACTTGAGGGTATAATTTGCCTTGTAATGTTTGGCAGTCATTGTTTATATTCTAAAGGTTATATTTTAAGCTATTTGGGGTTGCTGTTGGGAAGATCACTAGATTTATGGAGGAATTAGTCACAAATGACTTGTAGAAAATACTGTCATCTAGTTCATCATTTTCTGTTGCAGGAAGCCACTCCACCACAGAATGCTAATATGCCAGTGGTACCCAGTACCTCTTGTATATAGGTTATTGCAAATATTGTTCTGAAATGCTTAACTTCAGAATTACATTTTTTAAAGTAAATAATTGTTTGAAATCTATTTTGTAAAGGTATAAAATACATTAGAATTTCTGGAGTACAGATTAAACTATTTGCACTAACACAAGTGATGTGCATGATTTAATAAAATAACTTGATTCTCCCTATGCATGTTTGAGTTGGATATCATTGACATTCTTAATCCTGACTCTACTGTTCAGTTGTTAATAGTCTTTCCTTGAAATGGCTCTTTACGCAACATGACATATATTTGGTGTTCTTCAGGGTTTAAAACAAAACACCGAGCTGTTTCCTCCAGGTTTTATTGACCTTTTGTTTAACTTCTCTAATTTTCCTTCTTTTAATGTGGTTATTATAAAAATGTGACTTTCTAGCCAGAAAAGACTCATTAAATATAAGGTCAAGTATCAATATTTACTTTATTCAAATTGAATAAAAGAGTAGTTACTTCCATCTTTTTTCTCAAGAATGTAAATGAGCCTATTTACAAGCAGTACCTCTAGTTTTGCTCAGTTTGCTTTCAGGTTAAATCAAAAGTATGATTGCTCTCTGGTAGTGGTAGTCACTAAGAAATTTAAAGCACAGCAATTAAGAATTGAATGATTCTATAAAGATACATTTAAAAATTATTCAACAGAAGCTGCCTCATACCTATAATCCTAGCACTCCAGGAAGCTGAGGCCAGAAGATCACATCCCAACATGGGTCACTTAGCAATTGACTGAGACCCTGTCTCAAAAATAAACAGTAGCTGGGAATATAGTTTAGCAACATAGTGCCTGCCTGGCAAAAAAGAGGTCCTAAGTTCGATTCCTGGTACAAAAAAAACAAATAAATAAAGGCTGGGGGTATAGCTCAGTGGAAAGACCTTGACTTCAATCCCTAATACTGTGAATTAAAGTTTTTGTTGTTGTTGTTGTTGTTGTTGTTGTTGTTGTTGTTTTGGTACTGGGGATTGAACTTACTACCTCTTGCTTGGCAGACAGGCACTTATGCTGCTCAGTTAAATCCCCGGCCCTAGTACTGTGAAATACGTATATATAATACATTTTCCGAAGTGCTACATAACATGGTCAGAAAATGAAAACATGGTATTTAAACAGATCTAGCTGGGTGTGGTGAGACATGCCTATAATCCTAGTACTCAGGAGGCTGATACAGTACTCAGGAGGATCACTGCAAATTTGATGCCAGCCAGGGCTACATAGTTATCTCAAAAGAAAAAAAGTAAAACAGATCTGAATTGGCCTCTTGGCTCTAACTTTTATTGATGATTTCATTACTTTAGACAAAGCATCTCCATTTCCTCCTCTATATAGTAGAGAGAATAATATATTTGTGATGGTTGTATGAAAATTTTAAAGATAATGTATGTGAAATGCCATTTAATAATTGTAATAAATAGTTTAGAGAATGTCATACTGAAAAACTGCCTTAGATGTTAAAATTTTAGGTGAACTCAGTAAATCTTTTTTTTTTAATTTTTATTTTTTTGGCTGTTTGTTTGTTTTGAGACAAAGTCTCACTGTGTAATGCAGACTGGCCTTAAATTTGCTTATGTTGCCCAAACTGGCCTCAAAACTCACAATGACCTTTCTGTCTCAGCCTTCCTGACCCCAATTCTATTTAAATGAATTGAGTGACTCGCCTCTTGAGAATATCTATATATGTGCCAGGCGTGGTGGTGTGTGCCTGCAATCCCAGCACTTGGGAGGCTGAAACATGAGGACTGCTATTGACTGCAAGCCTGGTCTCCAAGTTGGGTTTAAGGCTGGCCCGAACTGCATAGTGAGACCCTGTCTCAAAAAAAAAAAAAAAAAAGAAAGAAAAGAAAAGTCTACATATTCAGTTGGTACTTGATTGTAATGTTTTGAATCCCATAAAAGTAACTTCACCTTATGTTTGGCCCTTTTATATTTGTGTCTTTTAGAAGTAACGAACTTAGTTTAGCGATGAACCTATTGCCCATAACAGTTTTAGAATTGTAATAGCCTTTCAGAGCCACTTTGAGTCGCATGTGAAAACCAGTTCCATTGCTTTGTAGTCCAAAACGTTTAACCAAAAATAGTATTTTATTTTATTTCACTTTACTTTACTTTATTTTATTTTTAGGGAGAGTACTAGAGATCAAACTCTTGACCTTGTGCTTGCCAGGCAGGCACTTACACTGCTCAGCTAAATCCCTGGCCCCCAAAATAGTTTTGAATAGTTTGATCTCTCACCTTAGTCTCCAGACTTGACTCCAAGGTACTTTTTGCTTTTTCATAGTGTCTAAATTAAATCTACTACCAGGAGGATGGAAGTCAGCTGCCAAAGCAAAAAAACAACTGAGTTGAAAATGCATCATTGTCCAAAAATGTCACTTGTATAATTTTATTTTGAGAACAAAACTGTGGGCACAAAATTTAACTACAGGGACATTTGGTGCAGAATTTTTATAAGAGTAGTAGATAAATAACCTAAATATCCCACAGTAGGTCATTGGTTAAGTAAATTCATATTGGTACCCGACAGACTTCTGTGCTTGCAAAGTATGTGGAAAGGTAATTCATGCTATTAAGTAAAAGAAAGATTACCAGTGTAAAATAATCCTGGTTTTAAGAAAGCAAAAAGTCATAGACATATGGAATATGATATGTTTATAGCAAAAGGACTTGAAAAAATTTATACCCAGGCAATGTTAGTGGTTCTGTGAATTCCCTTCCTCCTTATGATTTCTGATTTATTTTTAGTAGTAAATATATGTTCTTTTGTGAATAGGGATGGTGTAGTACTGAGGCTTGGACCCAGGGCCTTTGCACAAACTGAGCTATATCCCAAACCCTTTGAATTTTTTATTTTGAGACAAGTTCTCACTGAGTTGCCCACAGGGTACTCAGATTTGGAATCCTCCTGCCTCATCCTGCCAGAATGCTTGAATTACAGGCATGCACCATTGCAAATTTTTAAAAAGCTGTTCAGAGTTACTTTAAATTAGAAACAAAAAGGATTCCAAATTTGTTTCTATAGTTGAACAAGTAATTAACTTGCCAAAGTACCATACTTGTCTTTTTTTCCATACTTGTCCTTAAAGGATCTAATGCCCATTTGTATTACAAATTGTAATTGCCATTCAACAATCAGTTGTAATTTTGAACATGGTTTTCTACGTGTCTACCTGGAGTTACGATGCTATAGGAATCCATTCTTACCTTTTTGTTTATTAGGGAGAAGATTCAAAGCTTTTAACTTGGAGTTGTAGTTAGAAAGTTGGGAACCAAACAGTCCTTTTTTTGGTAATCCAATTATGCCTCCAAGTTTCAGTGGCTTTATACCCATTCAGTTAGGAAATGCTTAGTGGGAAAAGAGAGAAAGAGGGAGGAAGGGAGAAGAAAAGAAAGGAAAGGAAACAGGGGGCTGGGGATTTAGCTCAGTGGCATAAGAGCCTGCCTTGCAAGCAGGCAGTCGTGAGTTCAATCCCCGGTACCGATAAAAAGGAAAAAGACAAAAAAAGAAAGAAAAAGATGCTTAGTGAATGTCTTTTATGAGGTACTATTCCAAATCTTGGCAATACTTAGTCTCTATTTTAGAGCTTTTAGTATATAAGGCAAGTACAGGTAAGAACCACCCTGACAATTACAAGACAGTGAAAGAGAAGACAGGAAGCTGTGGAACTAGAGAGGAGGGTGCATTTCCTCTCACCTTCTACCATCCTGTCATCCAAGCCAGTAATAGTCAGCTGCAGAACAACAGGTGAGTTGCACTTCTAGATGGTCTGGGATCAAAACTGGTTTCTCTTGAAGTACTTGCTAAAGGCATCGTGATTGGAAGTACTTTTAAGGGTTTGTGTGTCAGTGATGCTTATCCTCGCATACTGTGCTGTCCTAGAATTTTGCCTGTTAAGTGGTTGAACACTGCCCTTCAAGTAATAGATAACTAACAAAGGCTCCTTTTTTTAAAATGAAGGATTGTTTATTATTCATTTATTTTTTAAGCCAGGGGAAAATGTTTCTCCTTACTGCCCCTTGAGTCTGTTCGTGGTGACCTGGGGCGTGGACTGATGGACATGCTCCTTGCACATGGTGGCGTGTGTTTCCTGTATCGCAGAGTTAGTGTTTACGGTGCTGCTCACTCAGCAGATTAAGCATGTTTTGTCTCAGCTCTTAAGATATGTGTTATCCTATAATACAAGAACACCAGAATAAATCCTATAAGGCCTGTGAAAAAGAAACACTATGAATAAAGGCTAACGGGACCAGGGAAGAGGGGAAAATCAAGTAGATGTGCTTTGTCTGCTGTGTTCCTGCTATACACATCTGCTCTTTGTTTCATTGCTGCATTCTCACCTCTTGCTTGAACTGGCCAGAGCACACCTAGGTAGCCAGACTTCATTTCACAGATTCATAGTTCTCTGTGAAATAACACCCTGAATTTTTTTCATCCTGAATTTCTCCGTATTTGTCATTCCTTTCTTTTGTAAGTGTTAGAGCCCTTCCCCTAGGCTGAGAGGCCTTCTTCATGGTCAACAAGGGAGGAGCACCCACAGTGTGAAAACCTGTACCATTTCCACTCCTTCAGTCCCCCCTTCCTGTCATAAATTACTTTACTGTCTGTATCATCTTTACATAGCACATTTTGGTTTGATTGAAAACTCAATGTGAGATAATTAACCTCCCCCATCAAAGGTCTGTCCTTTTTTCCTTTTCTTCCTTTCTTCCTTCCTTTCTTTCTTTCTTTTCTTTTCTTTCATGGGGTCTTGCAATGTAATTCAGATTGGCCTTGAGTTTACTATATAACACTGACTGGCCTGAAACTTACGATGATCCTCCTTCCTCAGCCTACTGAGTCCTGGAATTATAGCCCCACGTCACCATGTCCAGCAACATACATTCTTTGTCAGAACAAAACCTAAAAGTGTTCATCTGTAAAGAGACATGAATTGCAGTATTTGGCTAAATGATGGGGCACTATACATATATATATATATATATATAATATAAGTATTAATCCCAATAGGACTGAAAAAAATACTGAATAAAAAGTAAAAGCCGGGCTGGGGATTTAGCTCAGTGGCATAAGCGCCTGCTTTGCAAATGCATGGTCGTGAGTTCGATCCCTGGTACCGATGATTTAAAAAAAATAAAAAATAAATTAAAAAAAAAAGTAAAAGCCACTGTATTTTGTCTGTTAGGGAAGGTATAAGTAGCAGTGATACAGATAGCAGCTTCCTATATTTTCTTGGAGAATGGTGGTGGGAGAAAAATGAAGTTTACAGGAGTGAAGGAAAAAATAGGAAGATCGGCTTTAACTGAAGAAAGCTGAGTATCTGAAATTTAATATCTTTATTTTACCTTTTATTGTGCCCTTTTCTTAAAGCTCTTTGAGTCAAATGGACACCATCCTTTGAAACTATTTTTCTTCTGAAAGCTGCCACCCTTGAAGTGAGAAGGGAAGTTTCTAATCAAGCAAATTATTTTGTGTCAGCTGAGGACCCACTGAGTTGGAACAAGTTGCTTTTGGCCTTCTACCCTTTCCTTTTTCTGCTGCACATCTGTGTCTTGGTTTTGTGAGGAGGCATTGGCCAGGGCACCATTCTGGGAGAACTGATAGGCAGCTGTCCTAAGCTGGGGCAAGCAGGTCTCTTCTAGTCCTCTGTTCAGGGATAGTGGAGCAAATTGGGTGTTCAAGTCAGCAGAGGGTAGAGAGGGCACCAACTGATTGCTATGTCACTCGAAAGTTGCCAGCATCTTCTGATTTTTTTTTTTTTTTTTTTGTCTTTTTCCTTTTTATCAGTTCCGGGGATCGAACTCACGACTGCCTGCTTGCAAGGCAGGCACTTATGCCACTGAGCTAAACCTCCAGCCCCATCTTCTGAATTTTTAAGAGAAACAAAACTGGGCTTCCTCTTCACTTCTCAGATTAAAGGGTCAGGGAGAGCCAAGTGTGGTAGCTCACTCCTGTAATTCTAGCACACACACAAGGCAGATGCAGGTGAATTGCCTGGAGTTTGAGGCTGGTCTGAGCTACATAACAAGACCCTGTTTCAAAAAAAAAAAATGTGGTAGTGAGACAAACGTGCCTGAGGCCCAGAAGGGCCACTGGGGCTTCCAGCTGGCAAGCTGTGTGCTAATAAGCCCTAGATTTATAAAGTACCAGAAATGCATTATGCTTAAAGTTGGACTTCATAGATAATGTTCAGAGAATTTTGGAGCTAGATTCAAGATTTTCAATCCTGTGATTTCTATCATGGATTCTAATTAAACATACGCACAGAAAAGACAACTTTTCTCTAGTACTGAGGATTGGGCCCAGGGAGGGCCAAATGGCTATGTAACTCAGGCTAGATGTACTAGTCTCTGTCTTTTTTTTTTTTTTTTAATTTTTGGAACTGAATCTCACTACATTGCCCAGACCAGCCTCCCAAATACCTGATATTACAAGGATATACCACCACAGTGGCCCAGCTATTATTAACTCTCATTTCATTAAAGAAATTCTTCCAATTGTAGTGGTACAATCCTGTAATCCCAGCTACTTGGGATTGTAAGATAGGTGGATCACAAGTTCAGGGTCAGCTTGGGTAATTTTGTGAAACCCTGCCTCAAAACTTTAAAAAGAAGCAGCAGTATAACTTGGTGGTAGAGTGCTTGCCTGTTTTCAAACCCCAGTTAGTAAGGGGACATATTATATATGTGTGTGTGTGTGTATCAGGGATTGAATTCATGACCTCGCACTTGCCAGGCAAGCACTTGTGCCACTGGGCTAAATCCCCATACCTTTTGTACCCAGTAAACCTAATTCACAATTTTTAATGAAACCCTGGAGGCCAGATGTGTTTTGAATTTAAAAGTTATTTATATTTTTGAAAGGTAATGTGCCTGTAATACTCAGAAGTACTCGGGGCATGGTGGCACATGCTTATGATTCAAGAACTTGGCTGAGGCAGGAGAATCAAAACAATCAAGTCATACAGTATAAAATGCCTGCAAAGAACCATATGAATGTTCAACTAAGAATAAGTAAAAACTATAAATTACCATATGTTTAATCAGGTCAAAATTTCCTACCAAATGAGTTGGTGGGTACCAAACCAAAAGCGTTGGTTTTCAGAGATTAAGTAGTACCAAAAACAAATGAACAAACACGAAACTTGCTTGGCTTTATCGTTCTCTGGTCACCCTGGACCACTGGAAGCTACACTAACTATTATACATTTGTGTGCTTTTGATTGAGTGGAGGTAAATCTTTTTGCAGCTGCTTCACTATCGTTGGGCTCCTTGGGACAGGGAGCATACTGCATGTGACAGCATTTCATGCTGGAAAGCAGGTGTGTCTACCCTGTGGCCCAAGGGCCACATGCAAGCAAAGACAGCTAGTAATGCAGCCCTATAAGATCATAAACTTGCCAAGCGAATTGGCAAACGCCTATGATCCTAGCACTCAGGAATCAGAGGCAGAAGGATCACTGCAAGTTCGAGGCTAGTCTGAACTACATATTGAGACCCTATATTACAAAACAACAGGATATAGCCAAGGATATGACTCAGTGGCACAAATGCCTGCCTGGCAAGTGCGAGGTCCTGAGTTCAATTCCCAGTACCTCCCCAAAAAATAAATAATTAAATCATGAACTCTTAACGTTATGTGATTTTTAAAGCATTGTTTGTGGCTTGATTGCACAAGGCTTGAAGACAGACTGCATAGGCAACGGAAGGCTGTGAAGCAGAGAGCACTCACAGTCTGCCTCCCACAGTACGTGCCACACACAGTAGAATAAAATGCTGCACCTATTAGCTACTACATGTACTAGTGTGATTTGGCAAGTAAAATGTGACAATTACCAGTAACAGTGTTGTAGCCTACCTACACAAGAGTTCCAGAGAGAGAGACCTGGGCTTTTTCTCCTCCTTTTCCCTTCTCCCTTCTCCCTTGTCTCTTCCTCTTCTTTTCCAGTACTGGGAATTGGACCCAGGGTCTTCTCCTTAACCACATCTCCAGCCTTTTTGTTTGTTTTTTTATTTTATTTTGTTATATTTTACTTTAAAACAGGGTCTCACTGAGTCACAAAGCTGCCCAGGCTGGGCTTGAACTTGTGATCCTTCTGCTTCATCCTCTCAGAGTGCTGGAATTATAGGTATGCACTACCACACCCAGCATAAGAAGTTTTTTTTTTTTTTTTTTTTTTTTTCCCTTGCTTTTTTGAGACAGGGTCTCTCTATGCAGGCTGGCCTTGAGCTCATTTTGTAGCCCAGGTTGGTCTCAAACTCAAATGATCCTCCTGCCTCAGCCTCTCAAGTGCTGGGATTACAGGCGTGAGCCACCAGGCCCGGCTAGCCATAAGAGTTTTCTTACCATCATATTTGGGCAATCACTTCCATTGAACCAGATATTGATGCTTTAGTTTCACAAAAACATCAACTAATCACTAGTTTTATGATTATGTTTCCCTCTTTTTTTAATGCTACAGTGAAAAACATGTTTAAAAAGGAAGTTTTGTAACTTACATACATTAAATATATTACATATTTTATAGGTGGCCCAAGACAATTCCTCAATCATTTTGGCCCAGGAATGCTCAAAGGTTGGATACCTATGGTATAAAGTGCTCCTTGTTACTATAATGCCAGGTTTGTCTCCTGCTGTTTCAGTCACATTGGTCCTCATTGTAATCTTTGTGGTATCACATCTCAACTGCTCTTGTGACTCCTCAGTTACTGGAATCCAGCTCTTCATTTTGGCTTGGAACCCACTGAGCTTGGCCTTCTCTGCTGTTCAAGGTTGCCCTCCTCACTGAGTGCTGACTAGAGCAGCAGTAGCAATCAGTGCTTTCAAGAGCAGCCCTCTAGTTACAGTTGGTTGTGGTGATGCACACCTGTAATTCCAAGACTCAGGAGACTGAGGCGGTAGGATCCTTGCGAGTTTGGGACCAGCCTGGGCTACAAAGTGAGCTCAAGGCCAGCCTGAACAGCATAGTGAGATCCTGTCTCAAAAAGACACACACATACATAAAACAAATTTAAAAACCCAGCCTCCTGGTTTTTGATGTATGGTGGTACATACCTGTAATCCCAGCACTTGGGAAGCTTAGGCAAAAGGATTGCCATGATTTGGACGCCAGTATGGGTTACATAACAAGACCTTTTCTTGAAAAAAAAAAAAAGAGAAAAAGAAAAATCAAGTTCAAACTTTATCTGGGCAACTTAGCAAGACCTTGTCTCAAAAAGAAAAAGAGAAAAAACAAAGGACCCTGAAGAAAAAGGGGAGGATAGACAGGTAGGTAGATATATATGGTTGTGAGTTTGAGGCCAGCCTAAACTGCATAGTGAGACCCTGTCTCAGATAAAAACAAAACAAAAACTTGTGTTATGTACGTGTACCAACTTCACAATGAATATAATTGTGTACTGCAAACATACTAATAGAAACACCGTTGAGGTCCTCTAAACGATCTGGAGTGCAAAGAACACAATGGCATAGGTTCAAAATATTTTCCTGGAAAAAAAAACACTGTGCATACACATAAGAAGCATTAATTGCTTGAACAACTGACTGGTTTTTTTTTTTCGTTTTTGTACTGGAAGTTGAACTCACTACCTCAGGCTTGCCAGGCAGGTACTGTGCGGCTAAACAGCCAAGTTACATTCCTGGTTCAAGTCCAAATCAGATGACACATCAGGGAGCCACCTGAGATGTTGAGAAGGAGCAGGACTTAGGAGACAGACCTTGAAGAATAGAAGATTTGGTCCTATTGAGGAAAGGAAAGATGGGAATGAGTAGTTTCATACACATTGGCGTTAGACCTAGAGAACAGGTTTAGAACACACTGAGATGGGAAACCAGGTGGGAGCCATGGTTGAGGCAAGAGGAGACTTGCTAGGTATGTGCCCACAGTGTGCCGAACGTGCCCCACTACTGGGAAGACATACACTTGCCTGTGAGAAGCAGCAGGTTTAAGCAGAAGAAAAATGCCATCATGGAGCCACACTGCAGCTTCATATGCAGCTCTTGTTTCTGTCTGCTTTCCAGTCTCCCTGTTCTCTGCCCCTGGAGGACTTTTTATGTAACCCTCTTAGCCTGAGCATTTTAGCCACAAGAGTCATGTAAGTGTTTCTATTAAACTGTAAGATAAGGCAAGGCTCTGCACTAGCAGGCTCCATCAGCTGTCCTGGGGATTTTCAGAGTCTCTATGTTGACCCTGGAGGGTGTACTTGAGCTCCTACAAAGATTCAGATCTCGCTCCAGGTACAGGATGTGTTCAATACCAGGCAGTTTAAGAGGGTCCATGGAGAGCCATGAGCAGTGGGTTGATCACAGTTTTTCCAGTTCCTGCATTTGCTTTTTGTTTGTTTGTGTTTGTGTTTTATTTTGAGACAAGATCTGGCTGTGTAGTTTAGGCAGGCCTTGAATTCACTGTGTAGCCCAGGCTGGCCTTGAACTCAGTAATTCTCCTGCCTCAGCCTCCTTAAGTGCTGAGCCTACAGGCAAGAGCCACCACACCTGGCACTGCGTTGGTTTACCACAAGAAAGGGTATGGACCCTTTGCCCAGCTTCTCTGAGCACACGAAGCTCAGTACCTTAGTTGAGTTAGCACACAAAGACTCCTAAGCTTTGTAACTTTTTATTTTGTTGTAATTCCAGATTTACAATTGCCATAATATAAGGAACTTACCCTTCACCCAGATTTACCAGTTGTTTATGTTTTGCTCCATTGCCTTGTCTCACTGTATAGTTTATACAGTTTTATTTTCTGAATCATTTGCTATGCCCCTATAGACTTAAGTGTGTATTTCCTAAAAACAAAGACCTTCTCTTGGGTTTTTGTATCTTACTAGGAGTACTGGTTCTTGCTCTAATATGGTGTTTACTAGTGTTTAAAGGGTGCAAGAAGGGAGATTTTATGGATCTCAGGGAATTCATTAGAAAGTAGTCACAGCATTTATTTTCTCCTTACTAGACCCTGTCGAGACCAAAACCCCCCCTGAAAAGTGTGGTACGAGTCCCTGTGGGAAAATTTGCCTATTGTTTCTGGGGCAAACATGAGTGTTGTCACAGCTTCAGAGCCAAGCACAGCGAGGTGTGGTGGCGCAGGCCTGTAATCCCAACACTCAGAGGCTGAGGCAGGAGAATCACTGTGAGATGGAGGCCAGCCTAGGCTACATAGCAAGACCCTATCAAAAAAACCAAAGCCAACTGGGAAATGGTAAAGGTGACATGGATTGAGTCACAGTGTGCAGTGGGCGAATACAGAAAGCAAAGAAGCTTTCATTATTGCACTTGTGGGGAAAGCTTTTTGTTCCATCCTAGCCTTTGCAACCTGAGGTGACAGCTGCCATCCTCGTGTCCCACCTGAGAGGCCTCCAGCATCTGAACAGAGGCCCCATGCTCCTCCTGCACTTAAACAAGTTACCAAAACCTTGGATTCAGGGACTCCCAGAACAACAGTGCACACACCCCTGCTTAGCATCCCACTTTCTTAACAATGCTTTCTAGGGTAAATTGACAGGCGAAACTATCATTTTTTTTCCAAATATAAAATTAATAATTCTTGTGGGAATAAATGTATAGAAACATATTCAGAAGGGATGCAGATGCTAGTCATCTTCTGTGGCTCTGGTGGCCCTTTGCAGCTCCCTATTGCTTCAGGACTAAACATTTTTTTTTTTTTAATCGGTACCAGGGATCAAACTCACGACCATGCACTTGCAAGGCAGATATTTATGCCACTGAGCTAAACCCCCAACCCCAAGACTGAGCATTCTATGGCAGCTGAGTACTACACTTGGGTTGTCAGAACTATACATAGCCCTGGCTCTGCTATTCTAACCTTTGAGATCCAGTTTCCTGGATCTCAAACAAAATAATAATAGTACCTGGAGGGCTGGGGATATAGCTCAGTAGCACAGTGTCTGCCTGGCAACTGCAAGGTCGTGAGATCAATCCCTGGTACCAAAAAAGAGAGAATAATAATATCTGGATCAATATGCTAATGCTTGACAAGTGATTAAGTCAGTGCCTGGCACAGAGTAATGGCCAAATGTTCTGGATGACAGAAAAGGATTTATGTCGTATCACTCTATGGCAGTCTTTTTTTTTTTTTTTTGAGAAAGAGTCACACTAATTCACTGACTTGCCCAGACTGGTCTTAAACTCACAGTCCTCCTGCCTCAGCTTCCTGGAATGCTGGAATTACAGGTATGTATCACCATATCCAGCATTTTCTTTTAACCATTGTTTATTCATTCAGCAAATATTTTTTTAAGCACCCACTGCATGCCAAGCATAATGGTAAGACTGACAACAAAATCCTTGCCTTTGTGAAATGTACAATGTAGTGAAATGAGAGGCAATAAAGAAACCTGTGTATATTATAAAGTATTATCATGGGCTGATAAGTACTCTGGAGGAAACCAGCATGGTATGGTGGACAGAGACCACAGTCAGCAGAGTGCTACTTTCTCTAAAGTATCACAAGTAGCCTCATGGAAAAGGTGGCATCTGAGCAGAAGTCTGAAAAGATAGGGGAACCATGTGAGTCCAGGGAAAGAAGGTACCCAGGAGTGCTGATGTACTGGCATGTGCCAGAGCCCTGAGGCAGGATAATGCCTGGCACATTTTTAGTTTTGGTTGGTTTGGTTTGTGGGGTTTTTGCTTTTTCTTTTTCTTTTTCTTTCTTTTTTTTTTTTTTTTTTTTTTTTTTTTTTTGGCACAGGGTCTTACTATGTAATTCAGTCCAGGCTGGTCCTGAATTCACTATGTAGCCCAGGCCAGGCTTGAATTAGCAGCAGTCCTCCTGTCTCAGCCTCCCAAGTGCTGTGACGACAGATGTGCACCACTGTGCCTGACAAAGGCCCCTGATTTTTCTGTTGGCTCTCTCCCCTTGGCATTGGCATGTCAATCCGAAACACCTGAACTCCCCCAAACTTAAGCAAACCCCCCACCAGCTTCTCCTTTACTTTGCTTCCCACAGCAGGTCTTTGATAAATGAGGAAAGGAGAGGCATGGTAGCCTTGCTTGGGGAACATGCTTTTGCCTCCTTCCCCTTCATTGTTTTCATATACAGCTCTCCACATGCAACAAATGGAAGTCTCATTCATAGCCCTACAGTCTCCCAGCTTGTGGTTCCACCCCTCCTTCCCTTCTCATTTCAGGCTTCTGTTGAGTTTGGATCCTGTAGGAGCTGCAGATAGACCCAGGGCCAAAGGAGATTTTGTGCATAGCTAATGGTGCAGGAGGGATGGCCGTGCAGAAAGAGCTCTGGACCTGCCTGCTGCTGCAGCTCAGGCTGGTGCCAGTGGTCAGTAGAAAATTTCAATTATTTGCTTACTCCTGGAGTGGTGGTACCCACCTGTAATTTTAGCACTTGGGAGGCTGAGACAAGAGGATTCCCCATGAGTTCAAGGCCAGCCTGGACTGAACTACATAGTAAGACTATCAAGACAGTCTCACACAGGTGTGGTGGCTCACACCTGTGGGAGGCTGAGGCAGGAGGATCATTGGGAGTTCGAGACCACCCTGGGCTACGAAGTGAGCTCAAGAGCAGCCTGAACTGCATTGAGAGACCCCGTCTCAAAAAGACAAAAAACAAAAGACAGTCTCAAAAACAACCACGAAGAAAAATTTGCTCATAGTCCTCCCAACAGTGCCCCAGAGGTAACTGCTCAGCAGAGACAGCACGTGTTGTGAAGCCGTTTTCCTCCTGGGAGCCAAGTGGATGGCTTCCCACCTGTATAGTGAGGCTGGCACAGTGCTGAGTGTGAAGTGCCATGGTGGTTCTGCTAAATTGTGTCTTGGTTTAAAAATAAATCTGTCCTGCACTGGAAGTAGCTTAGAAGAGCATTTGCCTGGCACACACAAGGCCCTGAGTTCCCTCCCCAGCACTGCCTCTCCCCAAACAACCAGCTAATAAACCTGTTCTTGTATAGAGGACGTCTTTCTGATTTCCAACTACCTTCCAGCTTTCTTTTTTTTTTTTTTTTTTTTTTTTTGTCTTTTTCCTTTTTATTGGTACTGGGATCGAACTCACAACTGCCTGCTTGCCAGGCAGGCACTTATGCCGCTGAGCTAAATCCCCAGCCCCCTTCCAGCTTTCTGAATCCCTCAGGTTCCACACCTCCCTGATCATTGTCACTTAGAAGTAATAAAA